CACAAACGCCACCCTCTCTCAGCATTTCGCTTGGGAGATCATCTCTGCCCGCTGCCGTTCCTGGTCTCAGACTCCGCATCGCCTTCAGTACTTCCTCAACAGATGGTACTTCAGCCAGCCACTCACAAGGGGGTGACCTCTTCCAATATTTGAGGCACCGCAGCCTCGGCAGGGTCATCCTCACTTTGTGCCACAATGTTTTCCTGGCTGAGGGATTTTCCCTCCCCCAGCACCTCACAGAAATGCTCAGCAAATCTGCAAACCTGTTCCTGAGGGTCAGAGATTGGATCACCGTTTTTTTCGCCTAATGATGGTAATAGGTGTGGTGCTGCAGGTTACTTTTTTGATGGAGTTAAATAGAGATTTGTGATCACGGGCAACTGCGGCAGACTCCATCTCCTCAGCAACCCGCGACCACCACCCATCCTTGCAGCCCCTCACGGCTCTCCGAACCTCCGAGCGAAGGCTGTGGTAAGCCTCCTCATTCTCTGACGTGGGATTCTGTAGCCGATGACATTCGGACTGTAGCTTTTTCTCAAACATCCTGAAAACCTCCTCTGTCAGCCACGGTCTCTGGGGAGGTCTGGACCGCGTACCCAAAGCATCCATTGCAGTTGCATGAGTCACAGTCCTAAAACTCGCCCATTTACCCTCGACATCAGGATGAGTGGGGGACTATGCCAATCCCAGCCGCAAGCGATGATGACATTCTCGCTTGCAACTTTCATCAGATAACTGAGACCAGGCCACTTTAGGTTGGAATGGGGTCCTGGGTGTACACCCACCTCCGGAGTGGAAGAATGGCAGGCGCATCTTACAGATGACTATTCGATGGTCAGAGGGCAGATCAGCTCCACGGTAGGTCCTGGTGTTAAGGACATGGGCTCGCATCCGCTGGTCCGTCACTATGTAGTCCAGAAGATGTTATTGCTTGGACCCGGCATGCATCCATGATGTTGTGTGGATGCGCCGATGCCGGAACAGCGTGTTGATAATTACAAGCCCATGGGCTGCTCAAAAATCTAGCAGCCTCCTACCGTTGTTATTGAGCTGATCTGGCCCATGCCCTCCAATCACTCCAGACAAGGTGCCAGCATCATGACCAACTCGGGCATTGAAGTCACCCAAAATGATGACTCTATCCCGAGGTGCCACTTTAGCCAGCACCTGTGACAGGACGTCATAGAAGGCATCTGACTCATCGGCTTTGCCTGCATCCCTCCACGGATGTTCGTCTTCGGTGGGGGTATAAGTAACCACGACCACCACTCCTCGCCTCCGGTTGATGGGAAGGCGATCCCAAAGGAGTCCGGGGCTTACAGCTTCCCACAGCCCACTGCCACGCTCCCACGCACCCTTCATTCTTTTGTTCAAAAGAAGAGCCACACCCTGTTGTTTTGCAGTCTGCTGCCCCGAGTAGAGGACTGTCCACCCCTCATGGTGGCAGGAGCCAGAACCGGTCCACCGGACCTCCTGAATGCCACAGAGATCCAAGCGGTACCGGTCCAGCTTCCGACAGAGGAGTGGCAGCCTGTCTTCCGCAGTGAGCGTTCGAACATTCCACGTGGCCATCCGTAGTGGCTTTTAGTTGTTTCTGGAGGAGCCCCGAGGGTAGAGATTCAATCTCCTGGCTCCGCCAATTGGGGTTTGGCCAGGAGACGTCATAGATGCCTGTCCCCCCGGGGCCTAAGGCACAAGCTTATTAGTTACATATTTCATTTTAACTCGTGGTTTAGTGGTAATTAATTGAAGGTAGAGGGGTTACCAGCCCCTCGCACCCGTCCAGAGCCCCCGTTTAGCCACTGTGGTGGACACAGACGCCATGAGGGGAGTAGCCAATGGGAATTGGCCCTCCCCCCACAGCACTGTCCACGACAGAGTTGCCCGTCCGGCACTGCGAGGAGGTAGGGAGTTGTTTTGCCGGACGCAATCACACATGCACAGTGACACACGTAGACAAAAATGGACACACGTGTAAATTGCTCAAGATAGATATACATAGGCGGCATTGACTACAACTGCAAAAAACGTGGCAGGACCCTTCTGAAGAAGAGTCACGAGACACAGTGAGGCTCTCTTGGATAAACAAGCGTATTCGGAAGCCACTGGAGCTATGCACTTTTAAATGCAGATTGAAGTTTGCTGTCCTTCCCCCGCACCTCTGATTACAAAACATTGTCAAATTAAATTGTAGCTTTTCGTAGCTGATTCAATGATCCATATGTGATTTTGAAATGGATGTATTTGAAGTTGTTTGAAATAAGTCACATTGTAAGCAGCCGGGTTCTCTTTGAATTGATATGGGGATATAATGCGTGCTTTCATAGGTGGTGATGTCACGGCGCGAACTCAAGCAGCCTCATTGGATTTTAAACTTCCCTACCTGATATAGCCCGGGTAGGGAAGTTCAAATTATGTCGTGAAAAGTCTTAAACCACCGTTGAGCTTCATTGGTTTGAATGTGATCAACACCTTGGCATGTACGTATGTTATCTTTTTAAACGTCTTAATTTTATTAAGAGGTGGGGGCTCAGTTACGAGATTTTGACAAAGAATCTGGCACGTGGCCAAATCGATAAATATATGGATCAGTATTAATGTGTTTGACTTTCCAATAAAAAATAATGAGGGATATGCTAAATAAAATATTCTAACTTTGACTATGACACATTTTACTTTCTCTTCATGGTATACGTGAATATAGAAATGCAGTAATGTCCTTAGCATAAGTATAAAAGGCAAAGGTGCATCCTTACAATGGATTTATCACAGCACCGCTGGCAGACTTCACTTAAAGGACCTCTAAATAGCGCCTCTAGAGGATATGATATATACTCAAGTATACTTACGTTTGTGTTAATTTTATAGGCAATCATTTTAGCTAAATTCTACGAACATAGGCTAGTCACAGGGGAAAGCTCTCAATTACGGAAGTTTTCCAAAGAGATCGGGATGGTTCCACAATTTTTCCAATGGGTCAGCATCTGCAAAAACACTCTTATTCACAGCTGCCATGTAACACACACACACAAATGGCACCATCTCCACCAAGTAAGAGATCGATCATAACCAGAACAATATAAGCCACGTCTGTGGAAAAATAAAACAATAAATGAAACCAATTTTAACGTGTGGAATCGCTGACTCGCTATTTTTCGTCTCAGGTGGGAAAATATCGACGAGTTTAATGAGACAGACATAAGGCATTGGGTAACGTAGAGATGAGAATAAAGCAATGATATGAGGGCTCTCAACGGGTATAAAAGTGGACCACCGGCAGTGGTTCAGCATCGTCTTTCAGAATCTTCACTGCACAATGTACGGACTCATCTTTGCTCTGCTCGTGGGCACCGCTGGTGAGACTTTGTGTAACTTCCTCTGCTAACTGGTTGCGTAGTGAATGGTTTTGGGTCGAACTGGGACCCATGCCCTGCAGAGATGGTCTATTTACGTATGCTGAACTTATTTCGCACCGTATGTATCCAACCGTGCTAATCTTTGCCTATAAACATCTGGCAGTTTAACAGCATTGGTTTAAGCAGGGCAATGATGGATATCATTACTGGTAATTTTGGTATCCTAATTTGGCGTATTTCTAAATTCCTTCTGTGGGGCCCATCATGTCCATCAGACAAGAACGACGATTGAGCAAGTGATGCAACATTTCTAGTAACCATAGCGGAGTGCCTTTTTCTGCTGGAAGTGAGCTTTGTAATTGTGTTGATGGTAACATTGGTGGTGATGATCATCACGGAGACAGCAGAGGCGGATCAATAATATCCCCAAGAGGGGTATTCATGAATGTCCATACTTTTAAATAGGGGCTTACATTAATAATTCGTTTTTTTTTCTGGTTAAGATCAATGACAAAATTACTTTTCGACTCAGGGGGTGGGAGGGGGGTAGCATTGCCTCCATTACTTCCATTGGATTCTCCATTTAGCCTTATACACGATGTCGATAGTCATGATCCTGTTGACGATTAACCTCACGATGAATGTTGGGTCTGAGTAATTGACCGTGGCCAGGATACTAATTCACACTCTGCTTCGCTGACAGCGGCGGCCCCATACATGTATGAGGACCACATCGTGGGTGGCTCCGAGTGCGCTGCCCACTCACAGCCGTGGCAGGTGTCCCTCAACATCGGATACCACTTCTGCGGAGGCTCCCTGATCTCCAGCGAGTGGGTCGTGTCTGCCGCTCACTGCTACATGCCGTGAGTTTGCTGCGTGCGGACATGAGCTAATCTCGTTGCGTGCTGCGTGTCTGGTGGTCTCAGTGAAGTAACATCGACTTGTGTAAAATGCAGTGTACACCTACAACCTGGTGATCACGACCTTATCTGAAAAGAACTTGAAGATCATATTGTTGAACTAAGACCTAGCAACAAATAATATTCATTTGAGCTTCACCGATAGGGCAGCAGTGTTACAGCTGGTAATATGAAGAAGCCGATCATATGATTTTGAATGAGACCCATGCGAACACACGAGAAAGGGCTATGATCACATTGCAAAGGTATGCGACATCCTCTTTCCACAACAAGGCGATGTGCCCCAGCAGTTTGTTTTCTTTAGACGATTATACCAAATAGTTACACCACTTGGCAATCTACCACACTGGTCAATTTGGGTCTGTGACGGTGGGAAGTGTAGATATGATGGCATAGAATTACAGTACAACCAATCTTACCATACGTGCTAGTTGTGCCATGTTGATGCTTGAACTTACCATTCGGAATTTGACCATGTACAGTTTTATTTGGATTGTTTTGTTCGTGTTTTCTTGTTATTGCTGTAGCCAGGTTTCTATTGTGTGACCAGATCCCCATAAAGGATTAGCATTCATGGGCCAATGGGTTTTACCTGTGCCAAAATAAAAACCCCCAAAAAACGTAAAACCGAAATTTAAGCGATCCCGTATGAATAAAAATCATCATCACTACTGTCATCCACTTCCTCCACCCCCAGGGCGCCCAGCATCTCTGTGCGCATCGGCGAGCACAACATCTTCGCTTCCGAGGGCACCGAGCAGTGGATCCAGGCCTCCAAGGCGATCCCCCACCCCCAGTACCACTCGGCCACCACCGACAACGACATCATGCTCATCAAGCTGTCCTCGCCCGCCACCCTCAACCAGTACGCGCAGGCCGTCCCGCTGCCCTCCTCCTGCGTCGGCACCGGAGTCATGTGCACCATCTCCGGCTGGGGCGAGACCCAGACCAGCGTCGGTGAGGACACGGCGCTTAGACGTCCGTCTACCCTGGAAAAGCCATTTAAGGAAGACTTTTTAAATATATTACAATGTCGGTTTCATGGTTGCTCTGTTTAGCTCTCGGATGTGTTTTCTGGCTGTGCCACGTGGTGTTCCTCATGACGTCTAGCTTTTCGCTCTCCTTCTTGAGAGTTCCCAACACTACTGGTGAAGCTCGGATGTTATGCCGAAGAGCACTCAGTACAATCCAAAAACATATCAGAGAAATTATTTGATTTCTTCTCCATACAAGCTGACACAACACGTACACATTATTGTACCATGCTAAAACATTTCATTAGGAAAAAAAATGTCAGTGACTTGAAGGGTATGAGTTCATGGAACTCTCTCTAGTGATATTTTCGTGGATTTATTTGCAATGTTTATAGCTAAGGGTTGAATAACAGTTCTGAGCATGAGGCAGGCTTGACCTGGAGTTTAAACTGGACTAAGAGTTGTAACTAGACTTGTCCATATCTGTTGTTGTTGTGGTCTGAGCTTGTGATTGGACACTTATGGGCACAGAGCTCCCCCATGTCTTCCTTTACTTTCTCAGTGTCTGTCCAGCAGTCGTCACGGAACTCTTTTCCACTCTCTTCCTCTGCTTACTTTTCCCCAGGTTTATAAATGGGCACAAGCTACCAACCCATTGCATTGGCTCTGCATTACTGGGACCTTCACGCTGAGTCCACTGCACTCTCCTTTGCCGCCCCTTCTGCTCATGAGTTTCTCCGTCCTCACGTTACCCCAATATCTTTGCCCAGAGCACAAATGCCTCACCACTGCCAACCGCGTGTCTCCATACAGGCAGCCCCGATGTCCTCATGTGCGTCCAAGCGCCCGTGCTGAGTGATACCTCCTGCAGAAACTCCTACCCCGGTGACATCACCAACAACATGATCTGCCTGGGATACCTGGAGGGTGGCAAGGACTCCTGCCAGGTGAGGTACCCTGAAGCGACTTGAGTTGATAAGTCTGAACGCGAGTATGAGCGTCGACCTGCCCTCTTGCTAGACACCAGTGCCACCTCCATCAATCATTCTAATTGAGACAAAGTTAATTACTCTCTCAGCATCTCTTTAATCTAATTCAATATTAATCACGTAGTTTTTTCACAGACATAAAGGTTGGGAACCATGGCATTAGATGCAGGAGCCAACTGCTAACTGCTGACCCTTTGACCTCTGATTCCGTCAATGCAGGGAGACTCCGGTGGCCCCGTCGTGTGCAATGGCCAGCTGCAGGGCATCGTGTCGTGGGGCCGCGGCTGCGCCCTGCCCAACTACCCCGGCGTGTACACCAAGGTGTGCAACTACAACTCCTGGATCGCCAGCACCATGGCTGCCAACTGAGCGACTCACTCGGAAGCCACCTTGCCGAGCAACAAGCACCATGATGGTTGTAATGCCATGAAACGAATAAAACCTTTGAAATGTTGATGCCATCATGTTTTTCTTGCCTTATTTTCTTCGTAAAGTTGATGATCGAAACATCGCCTAGCATGGTACAATGGATTGCGTTGCTCTACTGCTCTGCAATCTACAAAGCAGCCCCGTAGCAGCCTATACAGCACAGGACTTCCTTACCCCTTTGGTATGGTGGCCATATACCTCCTACCTGCAATCCTTGAATCAATAGTATACATTTAAAAAACATATGTTTAGTTCAATTTGTTCATACCAATAAAGTGGGCAGTTTAAGTAATTTTCTTTGGGCATGTCGAATCGTTTTGCCAAGAATCAACTGATTTGAGTCGATACAAAGGAGGGGGTGATATAATAATGAGATGGATAATGTCGGCTTCCCATTGTTCGATCCAAACTCCTCCCACAGCTCGACACAGGAGCTATAGCGTGACCTTGGAGCCCTCTCAGGGACGCTCGCAGCCAATCACAACCAGGCCATTGTCCTAATTTGAATATGACCCGCCCCATGAAAATAAATTCCTCTTTCCATCTCTCCTGCTAGATTTAATAATCGATTGTCGGTAAATCGATCAACTGTTGAGGACTCGATGAAACATTCTGGCATAAGAGTTGATCGTCGAGTCCGGTTCACCTCTTGTGAGGGCCGCTGGAAACTTTAAACCGCACGACATTTAGCAGTCACCACGTGGTACCTTCCAACAACAACAACCGCCATTTACCACTAAGTGGCGGTGACGTCAACACGGCAACTGTGCCAGGCCAAGTGCACTTTAAGGCCGCGTTAAGTGTCGAAAGCTTTCTGACAGGTCACGGGACAGACCCAGGTGCCATCGGTCGACTCACTGAGATGACTGGCAGATGCACACCAGCTGTGTCCCTTACTGTGCCATCTTGCTCCATTTTATCCGCCTGGCGCTGAAATTCGTTGTGAGCGTCGCTCCTCTGCCCTCCTTTGTTGTTGGAGGGCGACTGCCTCCAACTGAACAGTCGTGTCCTTCACGACATAGGCACACACACACTCACACGGCCATTCACAGGGGGTGTGCTTTCATGTTGAGATTTTTTTTATCATCACCATCAAATTCACTGCTAGATGATGGCTGTCATTTTTTATGATGCGGGGGAGCGTGGTGACGGGATGGGGAGCAGGTGCAGTTCACGTAACCACTCGCCACTGATGTTAGCCGCGCATCCCCAAGCCGCACCATTACTCATCCTGCTCCGCGGACATTTGTGAAAAGAGCTTTATAGCTCATCGGATTCCTTCAGGCTAAATCATTCTTCTGATTCTGAACTCAAATCCAAAACTCGGACTTAACACCGAATCGTCGAACCTCACCCGTGAATGAGCCGCCATCTCAGCGTCTGTTTGACATCCTCAACGAGCGGACTGCCAAGATGCACGCCGTGATGTGTGGATATTTCCTTTATGCGTGATTCTGTCGAACATGTGTTACACGTACTGTATGTAGAAGGGCTCGTGAGGAGACACAGAAAGTCACTGCAGGTCACCCCCTCCTATCTCAAGCCCAGCTACAGAACTGTAGATAGAATCTCATTTTGTCATGGAAACCAGAAATAAGTAACGTTCGCATCACGTAACCAATACACACATTCAAATAAATAACCTTTACACTGCTGGGTGGACAGAGACTAGGGGATTTATTAAATGTATCCCGTTGTTTCAACTGCCACACCGGGAGATTGAATCGAGAACTGGATTGCAAGTCGAGTGTGCTATTAAATCTGGTACCACAGCATCTCCCGTCATTTCATACAACCGCACTGTTGATCAAAGCAAATCAAACGAGACAATGTCTTATACATTACAAAGTCATGGGAAACAGATATCTCGATCATTGCTTTCGTGAAATGCAATATCGTGTCATATCGTGAATATTTGATATTGCAGCAAGCAGAAGTTTCAAACAACAATGTGTAATGACTCCAACTGAGTCGCAGATGTTATCTTGGAAGCAACACTATTTATTAAACAACAGCACGCAACACAACACGATCTACACACGGGTCTCGAATGCCCATCTAACCACGCTACGGCAGAACTAGACACGGTTCGCTATCCCGGTCCGGACCACAAGCTGGGTACTGGACCGCGTGGCTAGAGGCTTCTTCTCCCCGACGTGGATCTTCGTAACACCAGCACACGAAAAACATCGAGCTCCTCACGGGGCACTGGTTTTATGCCCCCGGGCTGGAGCTGGCTCCGCCCTTCGCCGCGCCCACATTCCAGATCTCTCGAGCTCTTTCTTGAAAGTTCCCGAGAGCTCTTGTGGACCACGTGACCGCCCTGTCCACCAGTAGCCCCCCTCCAATATCATCCTGTCACATGTCAGCTGGTCAACCAGCGCATCGTAACCGTGGCTGGCTGACGCACCCTCTCGGCAAGCATAAGTTTCAAACAACAATGTAGAAGCGTGTAAAAAGCTATTGACAATTGTGCAAGATGCGAAAACCCTCACGAGTGTTGAGTGAAGATGTACATTGTGGTCCACTTGTCGTCGATCACCGAAACAATATACGTGACCAAATTTATTCGAATGACAGGCAACAGTGCTGCAGTGATATAGAACTGGAACGCAAGTACAAACGTGACCATAATTGTGAAAAATAAACCACACTTAATGTCATGAAAGTCATTTCGGAGCTTGATCCTATCACACCATTACGCAGAGTGATAAGATGACGACCCCAAACCTAACAATGTCCATCACTGTCAGATGTTACATGAGGGCATTAACATTGTATATATATTCGTGTTGTTTTCGGTAAAGTCACGTAGATAGAAATACAATTAAACAACAGATCATTTAAAAAAAGAAATATTTAAAGATAACAAATAATTAATAAATACAAATAAAAGCAAAAAACCCACGACGTTTCGATCGCAACACAAGCGGTCTTCCTCAGGCGGAGAGAAATGAAGGGGCAAGCCTCCAAATGCAACTGCTTATCAGGGCTTTCAAAGTGGGCTGTGCAGCCAGCACAAATGTAGGAGACAATGGGGGGAGGGAGGGGACAGAAACAGGGGGAGAGAGAGGGGGGATAGATATAGAGGTGGAGGTGAAGGCGAGGGCGCAGTCCAAGCATGTTCGACAATAGGGTAAGGAAGAGGGTAGAGATAGAGGGGGAGAGATGGGGGGGGGGGGGGTTAGAGATAGGGGGAGATAGAGGGGGTAAAGTAGTGACAATGGAGGGAGGGGCAGATACAGTGGGAGAGAGAGGGGGGGAGGACAGACATCGAGGTGGAGCTGAAGGCGAGGGCCCAGTCCAAATGTGTTAGACAAGGCCGGCACGGCACACCAGGAGTAGTTGGCCAGCACCACGCCCGGCCGCCTTTGTCTACCTAATAGCGATGTTTACACATTGCAGCAGTTGACATAGGAGAGGCCCAGGACCGGTTCATATAATCGTCGCTGGTGTTGGCCGTGAGTTGGAAACGAACCTGTGTCTCCAGCTTCGTCGCGCAGCGCGCTAAACGCTAAATTGCCTTCGCTACAAATGACACAAATACATAGTCAAATATCCCCCGTAGAGCCTGTAACAGACTGTTGGGGCAAGTGCTGTTAGCGAGCAGCTATGAAGGCTGGAACGGCACACGAGCGGGTGGCCGGCCAGCACCACGCCCGGCCGCATTTGTCTCGCCAGTAGCGATGTTTACACACCGCACAAGATACTCATTTGAGGTGGAGTCGATCTAGGGGAGGCCCCAGGACCAGTTCAGATAATCGTCACTGGTCTTGTAGCGCAGCGCAGTAATCTGTACCCTACCGCTCCCCAAATGACACCAACAACAACAACCGCCATTCGCCACTAAGTGGCGGTGACGTCACTACGACGCTTGTGCCACTCCATGTGCACCTTGAGGCCACGTGAAGTGTCGAACGCCCGCGGGCAGGAGGTCACGGGGCAGACCCAGGTGCCACCGGTCGACTGACTGAGATGACTGGCTGCGGCACCACCTGTGCCCCCTACTGTGCCAACCTGCTGTGCTTTAGCCACCCGGCGCTCCGCTCATTGTTGTGAGCGTCGCTCCTCCTCCCTTCGTTGTTGTTGGAGGGCGACTGACTCCAACTGCCCAATAGCGTCCTTCACGAGCCCCCTCCACAGAGGCCGATCTTGACACCGCTGGTACCAGTCATCGGCAAGCCCACTCAGCTCCACGTCCTCCTGTACCACATCACTCCATCTCTTCTCTAGCCCGCGCCGCTCCTGTTTAGCCCCCTCGATCCGGCCGAACAAAAGCTGTTTCGGCATGGGGTTGGCTGTGCATGCAGGCTACATGACCCAGCCAACGCAGCCTTGCCTGCCGGAGGAGCTTACCGATGGGACCTTGCCCAGATCTTTCAAGGATTTTTGAGCTCCTCACACAAATCAGCCTGGTTAAACCCAGGATGGATCGTAGGCAGGCCAGCCTAAATGTTTCCAGCCGGCGAAGATGCTCCATTAAGGGGGTCAACGTTTCGCAAACGTAGAGAAGGGAGGAAATGACCGTGGCCGAGAAGACCTGAAGCTTAGTGCGGAGCGACAGACCAGGTAGCTTCCACACAGCGTTATGCAACCGATGAAAAGATATTGCCGCTCGACTGATTCGGAGTGAGACCTCTGCTGTTAAACTGGAGCCGGTCATAAGCAGACTGCCCAGGTATGGGAAACTCTCCACTCTCTCCACAACTGCCCCATCAACGATTGGGAGTTGTGGGGGTGGAGTGTCCGATGGTACAAAATACCCAGGCAGGTGCTTTGTTTTGGTGGGGCTGATGGTAAGGCCCCATCTCTTAGTGGCACGCTCCAGTCGCAGCAGCAGCGTCTCCAACTCCTCCTCTGAATGAGCAGCTAATACCAAATCATCAGCATACGAAACTTGGTTGAGCAATAGGGAGTCATCCCTTGACCGCACCCGGGCATCGATCAGCCTCCCGTTATATCTGTACCAAATGGAGATTCCCCCGGTACAGCTATTGAAGGCTTCACGAACTACGTGGTCAAAATAGATGTTAAATAATGTGGGAGCCCGAGGACATCCCTGTCGCACCCCAAGGTGTACAGGGAATGGCTCTGTCTCCCGGCCACGCAGTTTTACCCGGGCCCGCTCACCATCACGAAGGTCCTTAATGATCGTGAGCAGAGGGTCAAGGAGCAAAAGCACGAAGAACAACCCAGAGCCCAGGCCTACTGATGGTATCATAGGCCTTGACCAGGTCAATAAAGCAGAGATGTAGGTCTTGTTGGAATTCCCTACATCTTTGCTGTAGCAGATGAACAGAAAATATGGCATCTGTGCAGGACCGCCCTTTCCTGAAACCGTATTGGGGCTCTGCAAGCCTCTCCTCAGCGTGCCTGGCGAGGCAATGTTGAATAATCCTTGCCAGGACCTTTCCCGGCACACTGAGGAGTGGGATGCCCATGTAGTTGTTGCAGTCTGTGCGGTCCCCCTTCTAAAGAGAAGCACCAGCAGGGCATCCTCCAATCCTGCGGATCCCGTCCAGTAGTCCAGACTGTTGTTATGATGTCATATAGGGCAGTCTGTGCACAAACGCCACCCTCCCTCAGCGTTTCGCTTGGGAGATCATCTCTGCTCGTTGCCTTTCCTGGTCTCAGACTCCGGATCGCCTTCAGTACTTCCTCAACAGATGGTACTTCAGCCAGCCACTCACAAGGGGTGACCTCTTCCAATGTTTGAGGCACCGCAGCCTCAGCAGGGTCATCCTCACTGTAAGCCACGATGCTTTCCTGGCTGAGGGATTTTCCCTCCCCCAGGACCTCACAGAAATGCTCAGCAAATCTGCAAACCTGTTCCTGGGGGTCGGAGATTGGATCACCGTTTTTCCCCTAATGATGGTAATAGGTGTGGCACTGCAGGTTACTTTTTTGATGGAGTTAAATAGAGATTTGTTGTCGTGGGCCACTGAGGCAGACTCCATCTGTTCAGCAACCCGCGACCACCACCCATCCTTGCAGCGCCTCACGGCTCTCCGAACCTCCGAGCGAAGGCTGCGGTAAGCCTCCTCATTCTCTGACGTGGGATACTGTAGCCGATGACAGTGGGCCTGTCGCTTTTTCTCAACCATCCTGAACACCTCCTCTGCGAGCCAGGGTCTCTGGAGGGGTCTGGACCACGTACCCAAAGCAGCCATTGCAGTTGCATCAGTAACAGTCCTCAACCTCGCCCATTTACCCTCAACATCAGGAGGAGTGGGGGACTATGCCAATCCCAGACGCAAGCGATGATGACATTCTCGCTTGCAACTTTCATCAGATAACTGAGACCAGGCCACTTTAGGTTGGTATGGGGTCCTGGGTGTACACCCACCACCGGAGTGGAAGAATGGCAGGTGCATCTTACAGATGACTAATCGATGGTCAGAGGGCAAAACAGCTCCACGGTAGGTCCTGGTCTCAAGGACATGGGCTCGCATCCGCTGGTCCGTCACTATGTAGTCCAGCAGATGTTCTTGCTTGGACCCGGCATGCATCCTTGATGTTGTGTGGATGCGCCGATGCCGGAACAGCGTGTTGGTAATTACAAGCCCATGGGCTGCACAAAAATCTAGCAGCCTCCTACCGTTGTTATTGAGCTGATCTGGCCCATGCCCTCCAATCACTCCAGACCAGGTGCCAGCATCATGACCAACTCGGGTATTGAAGTCACCCAACATGATAACTCTATCCCAAGGTTCCACTTTAGCCAGCACCTGTGACAGGAGGTCATGGAAGGCATCTGACTCATCGGATTTGCCTGCATCCCTCCACGGATGTTCGTCTTCGGTGGGGGCAAAAGTAACCACGACGACCACTCCTCGCCTCCGGTTGATGGGAAGGTGAGCCCAGAGTAGCCCGGGGCTTACAGCTTCCCACACCTCACTGCCACGCTCCCACGCCCCCTTCATTCTTTTGTTCAAAAGAAGAGCCACACCCTGTTGTTTGGCAGTCTGCTGCCCCGAGTAGAGGACTGTCCACCCCTCATGGTGGCAGGAGCCAGATCCGGTCCACCGGACCTCCTGAATGCCACAGAGATCCAGGCGGTACCGGTCCAGCTCCCGACAGAGGAGTGGCAGCCTCTCTTCCGCAGTGAGCATTCGAACATTCCACGTGGCCATCCGTAGTGGCTTTTAGTTGTTTCTGGAGGAGCCCCGAGGGTAGAGATTCAATCTCCTGGCTCTGCCAATTGGGGTTTGGCCAGGAGACGTCATAGACGCCTGTCCCCCCGGGGCCTTTGGCACAAGCTTATTAGTTACATATTTCAGTTTAACTCGTGGTTTAGTGGTAATTAATTGAAGGTGGAGGGGTTACCAGCCCCTCGCACCCGTCCAGAGCCCCCGTTTAGCCACTGTGGTGGACACAGACACCATGATGGGAGGAGCCAATGGGAATTGGCCCTCCCCCCACAGCACTGTCCACGACAGAGTTGCCCATCCGGCACTGCGAGGAGGTAGGGGGTTGTTTTGCCGGACGCAATCACACATGCACAGTGACACACGTAGACAAAAATGGACACACGTGTAAATTGCTCAATAGAATATACATAGGAGGCATTGACTACAACTGCAAAAAACGTGGCAGGACCCTTCTGAAGAAGAGTCATGAGACACAGTGAGGCTTTCTTGGATAAACAAGCGTATTCGGAAGCCACTGGAGCTATGCACTTTTAAATCCAGATTGAAGTTTGCTGTCCTTCCCCCACACCTCTGATTAGCACAGTAGGCTACGTTCCGTGCGAAAGATGTTCAACATACATACTCATGATGATACTCGTTCATGAGAATTGCTGCATATGGTGGACGTACAGCTCAGCTGCCGACAACAGGACATCGTAGGAAACAAATGAAAAGTTACTTTGTGTGACTAGGCGAGAGTTAATTGAGACACCCTTTTCCTGTTAACAATATAATCCATATTCTTATGTCTTTCGGGAAAGTCACGTTGAAGGGAAACAATAAAATAATAAAATATATATAAAACAATAAAAATTATCATGACGTTTCGACCATAACACAAACGGTCGTGAGAATTTTTATAGTTTTATATATATTTTATTATTGTATTGTTTCCCTTCAACGTGACTTTACCGAAAGAGCTAAGAATATGAATTACTGCAGTCACGAAAGCTTGAAATCAAAATATAATCCATGGCACATGCAAGGTGTGAACAAAAAGAATGGAAAGTCGTGTTACAAACAGTGTCAACTTAAATTGTAGCTTTTCGTAGCTGATACAATGATCTATGTGTGATTTTGAAATGGATGTATTTGAAGTTGTTTGAAATAAGGCACATTGTAAGCAGCCAGGTTCTCGTTGAAAAGATATAGGAATATAATGCGTGCTTTCGTAGGTGGTGATGTCACGGCGCGTACTGAAGCAGCCTCATATTCTTAGCTCTTTCGGTAAAGTCACGTTGAAGGGAAACAATAAAATAATAAAATATATTATTATTTTATTATTATATATATCAAATCAAAATTTGAAGCAGCCTCATTGGATTTTAAACTTCCCTACCTGATGTAGCCCGGGTAGGGACGTTCAAATTATGTCGTGAAAAGTCATAAACCACCGTTGAGCTTTATTGGTGTGAATGTGATCAACACCTTGGCATGTACGAATGTTGTCTTTTTAAACGTCTTAATTTTTTCAAGAGGTGGGGGCTAAGTTACGAGATTTTGACAAAGAATCTGGCACGTGGCCAAATCCATAAACATATGGATCAGGATGAATGTTTGACTTTCCAATAAAAAATAATGAGGGATCTGCTTAATAGAATATACTAACTTTGACTATGACACATTTGACTTTCTCTTCATGATATACGTGAATATAGAAATGTAGTAATGTCCTTGGCATAAGTATAAAAGGCAAAGGTGCATCCTTGACATGGATTTATCACTGCACCGCTGGCAGACTTCACTTAAAGGATCTCTAAATAGCCCCTGTAGCGGATATTATATATACTTAAGTATACTTACATTTGTGTTAATTTTATAGGCAATTATTTTGATCTAAATTCTATGAACATAGGCTAGTCACAGGGGAAAGTTCTCAATTCCGGAACTTTTCCACAGCGATCTGGATGGTTCCACAATTTGTCGAATGGGTCTGCAAGTGCCAAAACACTCTTATTCACAGCGGCCATGTAACACACACACACACAAATGGCACCATCTCCACCAAGTATGACATCATAACCAGAGCAATATATGGCACGTCCGTGGAAAAAAAAGCAATAAATGAACCAATTTTAACGTTTGGAATGGCTGACTCGCAATTTTTCATCTCAGGTGGGAAAATATCGACGAGTTTAATGAGACAGACATAAGGCATTGGGTAACGTAGAGATGAGAATAAAGCAATGATATAAGAGGGCTCTCAACGGGTATAAAAGTGGACCATCGGCAGTGGTTCAGCATCGTCTTTCAGGATCTTCACTGCACAATGTACGGGCTCATCTTCGCTCTGCTCGTGGGCACGGCTGGTGAGACTTTGTGTAACTTCCACTGCTAACTGGTTGCGTAGTGAATGGTTTTGGGCCGAACTGGGACCCATGTCTTGCAGAGATGGTCTATTTACGTATGCTGAACTTATTTCGCACCGACTGTATCCAAACGTGCTAATCTTTGCCTATAGACATCTGGCAGTTTAACAGCATTGGTTTAAGCAGGGCAATGATGGATATCATTAGTGGTCAATTTTGGTATCCTAATTTGGCGTCGGCCTCCGCTAGGTTAGCTCAATATGAAACACTTTGCGCCTCCTATGGTGATGCGCATCACCAAACTATCAGAGAAGAGGAAGGTGTGTTGCTTATTTGGCTGTGCCAGAAAGTTGGTCTTTGGCTAAAACTGAATTATACCCAAGTGCAAGATGGGGCGAATTTCAGTTTTTGTTCCCAAGCGATCGGTGCTAATTCTAAATTCCTTCTGTGGTGCCCATATTGTCCATCAGACAAGAACGACGAATGAGCAATTGATGCAACATTTCTAGTAACCATAGCGGAGTGCCTTTTTCTGCTAGATGTGGGCTTTGTAATTGTGTTGATGGTAACATTGGTGGTGATGATCATCACGGAGACAGCAGAGGCGGATCAATAATATCCCCAAGAGGGGTATTCATGAATGTCCATACTTTTAAATAGGGGCTTACATTAATACTACGGTGTTTTTTCTGGAAAAGATCAATAACAAAATAACTTTTGGACTCAGTGGGTGGGAGGGGGGTAGCATTGCCTCCACTACTTCCCTTGGATTCTCCACTTGGCCTTATAGACGATGTCGATAGTCATGATCCTGTTGACGATTATCATCACGATGAATGTTGGGTCTGAGTAATTGACCGTGGCCAGGATACTAATTCACACTCTGCTTTGCTGACAGCGGCGGCCCCATACATGTATGAGGACCACATCGTGGGTGGCTCCGAGTGCGCTGCCCACTCGCAGCCGTGGCAGGTGTCCCTCAACATCGGATACCACTTCTGCGGAGGCTCCCTGATCTCCAGCGAGTGGGTCGTGTCTGCCGCTCACTGCTACAAGCCGTGAGTGTGCTGCGCGTGGACATGAGCTAATCTCGTTGAGTGCTGCGTGTCTAGTGGTCTCAGTGAAGTGACATCGACTTGTGAAATTTGCAGTGTACACCTACAACCTGGTCATCACGACCTTATCTGAAAAGAACTTGAAGCTCATGTTGTTGAACTAAGACCTAGCCAAAAATAATATTTACTTGAGCTTCACCGATGGGGCAGCAGTGTTACAGCTGGTAATATGAAGAAGCCGATCGTATGATTTTGAATGAGACCCATGCGAACAAACGAGAAAGGGCTATGAACAGATTGCAAAGGTATGCGACATCCTCTTTCCACAACATGGCGATGTGCCCCAGCAGTTTGTTTTCTCTCGACGATTATACCAAATAGTTACACCACTTGGCAATCTACCACACTGGCCAATTTGGGTTTGTGACGGTGGGAAGTGTAGATATGATGGCATAGAATTACAGTACAACCAATCTTACCATACGTGCTAGTTGTGTCCTGTTGATGCTTGAAATTACTTTTCGGAACGTGACCATGTACAGTTTTGTTTGGATTGTTTTGTTCGTGTTTCATTGTCATTGCTGTAACCAGGTTTCTATTGTGTGACCAGATCCCCATAAAGGATTAGCATTCATGGGCCAATGGGTTTTACCTGTGCCAAAATAAAAGCTCCCAAAAAACGTAAAACCTAAATTTAAGCGATCCACTATGAATAAAAATCATCATCACTACTGTCATCCACTTCCTCCACCCCCAGCGCCTCCCGCATCTCTGTGCGCATCGGCGAGCACAACATCTTCGCGTCCGAGGGCACCGAGCAGTGGATCCAGGCTTCCAAGGCGATCTCCCACCCCCAGTACCACTCGGCCACCACCGACAACGACATCATGCTCATCAAGTTGTCCTCGCCCGCTACCCTCAACCAGTATGCGCAGGCCGTCCCGCTGCCCTCCTCCTGCGTCGGCACTGGAGTCATGTGCACCATCTCCGGCTGGGGCGAGACCCAGACCAGCGTCGGTGAGGACACGGCGCTTAGACGTCCGTCTACCCTGCAAAAAGCATTTAAGGAAGACTTTTTAAATATTTTACAATGTCGGTTTCATCGTTGCTCTGTTTAGCTCTCGGATGTGTTTTCTGGCTGTGCCACGTGGTGTTCATCATGATGCCTAGCGTTTCGCTCTACTTCTTGGGAGTTCCCAACACTACTGATGAAGCGTAGGATGTTATGCCGAAGAGCGTTCAGTACAATCCAAAAAATATCAGAGAAATTATTTGATTTCTTCTCCATACAAGCTGACACAACACTTACACATTCTTGTACCATGCTAAAACATTTCATTAAGAAAAAATGTTGGTGAATTGAAGAGTATAAGTACATGGTACTCTGTCTAGTGATATTTTCGTGGATTTTTTTGCAATGTTTATAGCTAAGAATTGAATAACAGGTCTGAGCATGAGTAAGGCTTGACCTGGAGTTTAAACTGGACTAAGAGTTGTAAGTAGACTTGTCCATATCTGTAATTGTTGTGGTGTGAACTTGTGATTGGCCACTTCTTGGCACAGGCCTCCCCCATGTCTTCCTTTACTTTCTCAGTGTCTGTCTTCATCTGCTTACTTTTCCCCAGGTTTATAAATGGGCACAAGCTACCAACCCATTGCATTGGCTCTGCATTGCTGGGACCTTCACACTGAGTCCACTGAACTCTCTTCTGCCGCCCCTTCTGCTCATGAGTTTCTCCGTCCTCACGTTACCCCAATATCTTTCCCCAGTGCACCAATGCCTCACCATTGCCAACCGCGTGTCTCCATACAGGCAGCCCCGATGTCCTCATGTGCGTCCAGGCGCCCGTGCTGAGTGATACCTCCTGCAGGAACTCCTACCCCGGTAACATCACCAACAACATGATCTGCCTGGGATACCTGGAGGGTGGCAAGGACTCCTGCCAGGTGAGGTACCCTGAAGCGACTTGAGTTGATAAGTCTGAACGGGAGTATGAGCGTTGACCTGCCCTCTTGCTAGAAACCAGTGCCACCTCCACCAATCATTCAGATTGAGACAAAGTAAATTACTCTCTCACCATCTCTTTCATCTAATTCAATATTAATCACGTAGTTTTTTCACAGACATAAAGGTTGGGTACCATGGCATTAGATGCAGGAGCCAACTGCTAACTGCTGACACTTTGACCTCTGATTCCACCAATGCAGGGAGACTCCGGTGGCCCCGTCGTGTGCAATGGCCAGCTGCAGGGCATCGTGTCCTGGGGTCGCGGCTGCGCCCTGCCCAACTACCCCGGCGTGTACACCAAGGTGTGCAACTACAACTCCTGGATCGCCAGCACCATGGCTGCCAACTGAGCGACTCACTCGGAAGCCACTTGCCGAGCAACAAGCACCATGATGGTTGTAATGACATGAAACGAATAAAACCTTTGAAATGTTGATGCCACCATGTTTTCATCGCCTTATTTTCTTCGTCTTATTTTCTTCGTAAAGTTGATGATCGAAACATCGCATAGCATGGTATAATGGATTGTGTTGCTCTACTGCTCAGCAATCCACAAGCAGCCCCGTAGCAGCCTATACAGCACAGGACATCTTAACCCCTTTGGTATGGTGGCCCTATACCTCCCACCTGCAATCCTTGAAACAATAGTATAAGTTTAAAAAATATATGTTTAGTTCAAATTGTTCATACCAACAAAATGGCTAGTTTAAGTAATTTGCTTTGAGCATGTCGAAATGTTTTGCCAAGATTCAACTGATTTGAGTCGATACAAAGGAGGGGGTGACATGCAAATGAGATGGATAATGTCGGCTTCCCATTGGTCGATTCAAACTACTCCCACAGTTCGACACAGGAGCTACAGCGTGACCTTGGGGCGTTCTCAGGGACGCTCGCAGCCAATCACAACCTGCCATTGTCCTAATTTGAATATGACCCGCCCCATGAAAATAAATTCCTCCCTCTTTCCATCCCTCCCGCTAGATTAAATACTCGATGGTCGATAAATCGATCAACTTTTGACCACTCGATGAACCATTCTGGTATAAGAGTTGATCATCGAGTCCGGTTCACTTTTTGTGAGGGGCGCTCGAACGTGTAAACCGCACGGCGCTTAACAGTCACCACGTGGTACCTTCCAACAACAATAGCCGCCATTTACCACTAAGTGGCGGTGACGTCAACACGGCGACTGTGCCAGGCCAAGTGCACTTTAAGGCCGCGTTAAGTGTCGAGAGCTTTCTGACAAGTCACGGGACAGACCCAGGTGCCATGTGTCGACTCACTGAGATGCCATGTTGCTCCACTTTATCCGCCCGGCGCTGCGTTCGTTGTTGTGAGCGTCGCTCCTCTGCCCGCCTTTGTTGTTGGAGGGCGACTGCCTACAACTGAACAGTCATGTCCTTCACGACACAGGCACACACACACACTCACACGGCCATTCATAGGGGGTGTGCTTTCATATTGAGATATTTTTATCACCACCAACAAATCCACTGGTGGATGATGGCTGTCATTTTTTATGATGTGGGGGCGCGTGGTGACGGGATGTGGAACAGGTGCAGTTCACGTAACCACTCGCCACTGATGTTAGCCGCGTATCCCCAAGCGGCACCATTACTCATCCTGCTCCACTGACGTCTGTTGAAAGAGCTTCATAGCTCATCGGATTCTTTCAGGCTAAATAATCCTTCTGATTCTGAACTCAAATCCAAAACTCGGACCTAACACCGAATCGGCGAACCTCACCTGCCTATTCGTCCAGATCTTCAAAAATCCAATCAATGCCGGAGTTCGGCGTAATGGGTGTCGTCTGTGTGTGTACATCACAGTTACATGAACGTGAATGAGCCGCCATCTCAGCGTCTGTTTGACATCCTCAACGAGCGGACTGCCAAGATGCACGCCGTGATGTGTGGACATTTCCTTTGTGTGTGACTCTGTCGAGAATGTGTTACACGTACTGTATGTAGCAGGGCTCGTGAGGAGACAGAGAAAGTCACTGCAGATTACCACCTGCTATCTCAATCCCAGCTACAGAACTGTAGATACAATCTCATTTTGACATGCAAAGCAGCAATAAGTAACGTTTGCAATACGTAACCAATGGACAAATACCAAAAAATAACCTTTACACTGCTGGGTGGACAGAGACTAGTGGATTCATGCAATGTACCCCTTTGTTTCAACTGCCGCACCGGGAAATTGAATCGAGAACTGGATTGCAAGTCGAGTGTGCTATTAAACCTGGCACTACATCAGCTCCCTTCATTTCATGCAACCACACTGTTCATCAAAGCAAAGGAAACGAGACAATGTCAAATACATTACAAAGTCATGGGAAACAGATATCTCGATCATTGCTTTCGTGAAATGCAATATCGTGTCATATCGTGAATATTTGATATTGAGCAAGCAGAAGTTTCAAACAACATTGTGCAGTGACTCCAACTGAGTCGCAGACATTATCTTGGGAGCAACACTATTTATTAAACAACAGCACGCAACGTAACACGATCTACACTCGGGTCTCGAATGCCCATCTAACCACGCTATGGCAGAACTAGACACGGTTCGCTATCCCGGTCCGGACCACAAGCTGGGTACTGGACCGCGTGGCTAGAGGCTTCTTCTCCCCGACGTGGATCTTCGTAACACCAGCACACGAATAACATCGAGCTCCTCACGGGGCACCGGTTATATGCCCCTGGGCTGGAGCTGGCTCCGCCCTTCGCCCCGCCCACCTTCCAGGTCTCTTGAGCTCTTTCTTGAAGGTTCCCGAGAGCTCTATTGGACCACGTAACCGCCCTGTCCACCGGTAGCCTCCCTCCAATATCATCCTGTCACGTGTCAGCTGGTCAACCAGCGTATCATGCCCCAATGTAACCATGGCTGGCTGATGCTCCCTCTCGGCAAGCATAAGTTTCAAATAACAATGTAGAAGCCTGTAAAAAGCTATTGACTATTGTGCGAGATGCGAAAACCCTCACGAGTATTGAGTGAAGATGTACATTGTTGACCACTTGTCTTCGGTCACCGTCACAATAAACGTGACCAAACTTATCCGAATGATAGGCAGCAGTGATGCAGTGATATAGAACTGGTACGCAAGTACAAACTTGAACATAATTGTGAATAATCAACCACACTTAACGTCATGAAAGTAATTTTGGAGCTTGATCCTATCACACAATTGCGTGGAGTGAAACATGACGACCCCAAACCTAACAAAGTCCATCACTGTTAGATGTTACATGAGGGCATTACCATTGTATATATAACAGGCAATTGATTGGAGAGCACGCTGTAGGCTTGCAGAAAATGGATTGAGCCTCATGTTGAAAGTATTGAACGTTTATTTAAAAGCAAGCTGTAGGCTTATGTAAATTATGCAAAGACAAATATCCACCATATAGCATTAACACACTGTTGGGGCAAGTGCTTTTAGCGAGCACCTATAAAGGCCGGCACAGCACACCAGGAGTGGGTGGCCAGCAGCACGCCCGGCCGCCTTTGTCTACCTAGTAGCGATGTTTACACATTTCTGCAGACGACATTGGAGAGTCTCAGGAACGGTTCAGATAATTGACGCTGGTGTTGGCTGTGAGTGGGAATTGAATCCGGGTCGCCAGCTTCGTAGCGCAGCGCGCTAAACGCTAAACTAGAATTCCCCACAAATCACACAAATACAAAGTCAAATATCCTCCGTTTATCCTGTAACAGACTGTTAGCGAGCACCTTTGAAGGCCGGAACAGCACACGAGTAGGTGGCCGGCCAGCAGCAGGGCTGGTCGTATTTGTCTCCCCAGTGGCAATGGTCACACACCGTACCAGATACTCATTTGAGGTTGAGTCGATCTAGGTGAAGCCCAGGACCGGTTCAGATAATCGTCACTGGTCTTGGCCGTGAGCGGAAATCGACCTCGGGTTGCTGGGTTCGTAGCGCTGCACGGTAACCTCTACCCTACCACTCCCCAAATGATACAGACACAATCACACATGTACAGTGACGCAAGAAGACACTTTGTTCCTCTCACACAGCTTAAAGGCCGTGCTCTGAACGTGGCTCTTTCACTCCAGCGCTGTCCTACCAGACAGTCTCGTCCCTTCACCTGATGAAGGCCGCTTGTGTTGTGGCCGAAACGTCGTGAGAATATTATTGTGTTATTTTATTTTATCAATTTATTATTTTATTCTCATTCTACGTGACTTTACCGAAAGAACCAAAGAAGAAGACACAAATTGACACAGGTGTAAATTACTCAAGATAGATATACATAGGAGTCATTGACTACAACTGCAAATAACGTGGCAAGACCCTTCTGAAGAAGAGACATGAGACGCAGTGATGCTCTCTTGGATAAACAAGCATATTCGGAAGCCACTGGAGCTATGCACTTTTAAATGCAGATTGAAGTTTGCTGTCCTTCCCCCGCACCTGGGATTAGCACAGTTGGCTACGTACCGTGCGAAAGATGTTCAACATACATATGTAGTGGTCATTGTAATCTAACATGCCGTCAACACTACCGCCCTGGTGTAGCACCAGCTATGGACCAACAGGGGGCAACAGCGAGTCCGGTCTGTTCCAGGCAAAGCCATGAAGCTCGGGAACCATGAGGGCGGTTGGGAACCGGAGGTACACACCCCAAGCCCCCAGTGGGGGCTGGGGGATTACGCAATAGTCCAGGACCCTCAAGAAGGTTCTAGAGAGTAGGCTTTGCTAGGGGCAGAGTGAACCTGGCCACCATATATAAGTCGGACCTCTGAACAGGTTTGCTTGTCGTCGTCAAGCTGTAGACCCTAAGAGCCAGCTTAGAATAGGACCCTGGGAACCCCCGGACCCGCTTGTCCTTCATAGGACCGGGACTGAGTGGGCCAGTGGACGGACCCTGGGAACCCCCGGACCCGAAATCCTTCTTTGGGCTGGGACCGAGTGAGCCAGTGGCCAGGACCCGAAGACCTTGGCTGGGTCGGGTCAGGCTAGTGTACCCTAGGGCTCCTAGCCAAAGGACTGAGATATAGTGTGGTCCCAGTGATAGAGAGCACGAAAGCCCGGAGGCTGTACCTCCCCAGGTATCGGGTGGAAGGGTCCGTTACCCCTTTGTGTTAGGGACCCTATACTGTTATTGTTATAAACAAAAGTGTTGCCTTCATTGAAGACTGGGTCTCAATCATTACCACCACAACTGGCGTCAGAAGTGGCTGAAGACCTAACTAGATATGGAGACAAGGAGATACATACCTGGGCTCCGGACGACGATGCTGCACTTGCTCCTGGGGCGACGACACTGCCAAATGATGGAGAAGCCGCCCGAAAGGCCGACATTCAGCCTGCAAAGGCAACTGTGAGCGCGCCACCTTCGGGGAAAGCACTGTGTGCAGCACACACATGCCTCGCCGACTTCCTGCATGCCGCTGCTGCTATCCTTGATGAAATCCAGCGAGGGGATCCGACAGCGGAATAGGGAGGTGGGGGCATGCAAGCAGCGGCAATTCCCGCCACCGGCTCTTCAACTCCCGCCAAAGATTTTGAATTTACTGCCCAAGACGGTGACGCATCGTGTGGACAACGTCACTTCCGCCCACGGACGCGCTTCTGCTAGAAGCCATGTGCATCGCGGGAACAATATCACTTCTGCCCTTAGGCTGCTCCAATCAGGCGTCACCACTTTATCAGCAACACGACCAGCGCTGGACGTCATCATTATGGACTGTAACAGTGCCACGGACCCCGCAAAATCCAACGCGACACTGCTGTCCGCGGGACGTGTGCCTCCTCTTAAGCAGCGCTTGCCTGTGCTCAAGGCATTCTCTGCTGCAGGTGGTGATTGGGCGGCGTTTGAACCAAGATTCCTTTCCGACTGTGACATGGTGGGGTGGATGGAGGAAGAGAGACTCTGCGCTCTTCCAGCCGCCCTGGATGACGACGCCTTGGCCGCCATCATCACGATCCCGTGGGGGGATCATGCAATGTTGCAGCATGCGTTGAAACACATGGCAGCTATCTACAGGCCTCCTTCAGATATGAGACACTGCTTAAAAACCCGGAACAAGGGTGAGTCGGAGACTCCCCTGGCTTTCCGCAGTGCTTTGCTTGCTCTCACTAGGCCAGCTTTTCCCTGGATGGATGACAATGGCATCGACACCCTCGTCCTGCAGAAATTGTCCTCGCTGGCGCGGGACTTGCGCATCGTCGTTCACGCAGTGGACGACGACGACCTGAACTCACTGCATGCCGCCAAGGCAATGCAAGTGCACCTTCTCCTCCAACGAGAGACAGGTGTCGCCGCTTATGTTGCACCATCACCAACCGATGCTCGTTCGGAAGAGACCCAACCCGACCAGGCCTTTGCAGTGACTCGGGCCTCAGGTTGGAGGGCTGGTGACCGACCCCACCCGAGAGATTCTCGGTAGAGGGAACGGCCACCTCCACGACCGGAGCCCCGGATCACCTGCTACAATTGCGGCCTCCGAAGACACGTGTCGTCGGGCTGCCGGGCACCTCAAATCTGCATTGGTGATATTAAAGTGGTT